AAAAAAAAAAAAAAAAAAAGAAAAAAATTAGTCGGGTGTGGTAGCGCACACCAGTGGTTCCAGGTACTTGGAAGGCTGAGGGGAAGGATTTCCTGAGCCCAAAAGGTCGAGGCTGCGGTGGCCGTGAGCTTGCCACTCCTGCCTGGGCGACAGAGTGAGACTCCTACTCAAAAAAAAGAGAGGAAAAAAAATCTGTAAAAATAATAATAGCTAAAACTCAAGAGCAAGGTATTTGAGGACCGTACAAAATAAAGGTGAGCAAGGTTTCTAATCCTGAAATATCACAATTTAATAAGGAAATATGGCACCCATGCCACACAACTATGTTTTGGGCAGGATTTGTGACAGGATGGAGAGAAGCATTCTGTGGGTGTATCGAGTAAGAAATGGTTTCTCTATTTAAGGAACGTCTAAACTTGGACAGCAACTAACATAATGTGAGATGACATATGTGCTCCCACACAAGGCATCTACAATGTAATAAGTGGAGTTGAGAGGTTGGGAAATTCACAATGGATTGGGAGAACTAGAGAAAAGCTTTATGGAGGAGGTAGCTTTTCTGCTAATTCTTTCTAAAGTACGATTTTTATCAGGTGGCGAAGGGGAACAATTGAGGAAGATAGCAAGAGAAATGGAATTTTCTTATAAAAAATGCAAGCTTCATTGTTTTATTTTTTATTTTTTGAGTTGGAGTCTCTGTCGCCCAGACTGGAGTGCAGTGGCCGCTCCCGGCCACCGCAGCCTCGACCTGCTGGACTCCAGCGACCCTTCCGCCTCTGCCTTCCAAGTAGCCGGAATTACAGGCGCGCGCTACCACGCCTGGCTGATTTTTTTATTTTATTGTAGAGATGAGGTCTCGCCTGCCCAGGTGGGTCTTGAGCCTGCGGGCTCGGGCAATCCACTCACCTCAGCCTCCCAAAGATGCAGGGTTACAGGCTGAGCCACCGAGCCCCGCTAGGAATGTTTCTTTAAGAGATAAAATGACAGGCGGGGCACAATGGTTCACGCCTGTAATCCCAGCACTCAAAAAAAAAAAAAAAAAATTTTTTTTAGTTGGAGTCTCTGTCACCCAGGCTGGTAGTGCAGTGGCACGCTTGCAGCCACCACAGCCTCAACCTGCTGGGCTCAGATGATCCTTCTGCCTCTGCATTCCAAGTAGCTGAAACCACAGATGTGCACCACCATACCCGGCTAATTTTTTGATTTATTGTAGAGACAGATCTCGCCAAGTTGCTCAGACTGGTCTCGAATCCCTGGGCTCAGGCAATCCTCTCGACTCGGCCTCCCAAAGTGCTCAGATTGCAGGCTTGAACCACCACACCTGGCTGGCTCTTATTCGCAACCTCACAAAAAAGCATTCTTGACATCTGACAATGCCGGTCTTTCTCCCAGACACGTGTATGTATTGAATCCTCTGAAACTTCCGTAGATTGTGAGCACATTTCCTCCTCAAAATGTGTCTTTGTTTCAGAGAATTCATTTACATCATTTCTTTCAAAATAGGGAGGAAAAATTCAGTCCCAATGTAGGAACTAAGATTTCCTCTAATAGTCTTGTTCTCTAGTCTTTGGGGCATGAAAATGGGCACACTTAACATCTCATGTTGCTTTCCCCACTCTTCTAATTAATTTTTTTTTTCTCTCTTTTCTTACCCTTAATTATTCAACCCCTTTATTTCTCATTCTGGTAAAGCAATTGTTTTTTTTTTAAGCTCTATGTATAATCTGTGCTTTGGAAAGCTCTCCACTATGCTGGTAGAAATTTCTGGAACTAATACAGCACCCTGTTCTCTTCCCCTAACCAGAGGCTAATTTTTGCCTCTATGTCCCATAAATGAGCATGTCCCAATGCTCATTTATGCCATGCTTTTTTTTTTTTGAGTTGGAGTCTCACTCTGTCACCCAGACTGGAGGGCAGTGGCCGCTCCCAACCACCACAGCCTCGACCTGCTGGGCTCCAGCGATCCTTCCGCCTCAGCCTTCCGAATAGCCAGAATTACAAGCGCGCGCTACCATGCCCGGCTAATTTTTTGATTTATTGTAGAGATGAGGTCTCACCAAGTTGCCCAGGCGGGTCTCGAACCCATGGGCTCAGGCAATCCACTCACCTCGGCCTCCCAAAGGCGCAGGATTATAGGCTGAGCCACCGAGCCTGGCTATGCCATGCTGCTTTCATGCTGTGCCTCCAGCAATAGTATCTCCCTCCTCTCCCATCACATAATCAACCGTTTTTGCATACACGATCATTTTTGCATATAAGTTTATTATTTCAGGTCCTAGTCTTCATAGGTAACGCTAGCATATAACTAGGGTTCAGTAGCCTCTCAGAAGGTATGTCAGTCACTGCTAGTTGTCTTGTTCAATATTCATTCTCCCTTTCTTCTAGATCCCCCTGCCTCCGTTTTTCGTTTTTTTTTTTCCAAGTTGGAGTCTCACTCTGTTCCCAGGCTGGGGTGCAGTGGCATGCTCAAGGCCACCACAGCCTCAATCTGCTGGGCTCAGATGATCCTTCCGCCTCAGCCTTCCAAGTATCTGGAACTACCAGCGAACACCACCACGCCCAGCTAATATTTTGTGTGTGATTTATCATAGAGGCAAGGTCTCACCAAGTTACCAGGCCTGGTCTCGAACCCCTGAGCTCAGGCAATCCACTCGCTTTAAGCTCCCAAAGTCCTGGGATTACAGGCTGAGCCACTGCACCCAGCCTCCCTCTAGTCTTGTTTTTTTTTTGTTTTTTTTTTTTTTT